GCTTCAAGAACAAGCTGCTCGCCTACGGCGTGGTGCTCGAGATGAGCACGCCGATCGCCATGGCCGGGCGCGAGATCTCGTGGGTGAGCGAGTTCTCGCATCACAACACCCTCCACTTTGGCTCATCCAACGGAGCGGTGGTCATTTACATGGATATGGAGATCTCCAGCGAGCTCGAGCTCGAGCTCACTGGAGAGACGGACAACGAAGCGATTTTGGAAGGGGAGCTGCTCTTCTTTTGAGCGGCGCTTGATCGAGAAAGAACAACCTCTACGGCGAGAGATCGCCAACAACAAGGAGCATGAAAATGAGCAACAAGATCTTGATCGTGGATGATTCGGCAACCGTTCGTCAGCAAGTCGGCCTGGCATTGCAGCAAGCAGGTTTCGAGACCGTAGAGGCCAATGATGGCGTCCAGGGGCTCGAGGCCGTGCAGGCAGACGCGAGCATCGCCGCCGTGATCTGTGACGTGAACATGCCCAGGATGAACGGCCTGGATATGGTGCGCGCGGTCAAGGCTCAAGGTCGCTTCGCCGACCTGCCGATCGTGATGCTGACCACAGAGGGGCAACCCTCGCTGATCAGAGAGGCGAGGGAGGCTGGCGCCAAGGGGTGGATCATCAAGCCCTTCAAGGCAGTACAGCTCGTCGCCGCGGTTCAAAAGTTGACCGCGTGAAACCAAGAGTGCTCGGTGTGTGATAGGAGGCCCGTGTGATGGACAATCAAGAGAAAGCACTAGAACCGCGACCGCAGCAAGGGGGTGATGCGGTCGCGCAGGTCGAAGCCGCACGTGAGAGCGTGGCGGATTTGATCAAGCGCTCCAACGCCCTGAGCGAACAGGCTGTCCTCAACGTGGGGATGCTGATGAAGTCCGTGGTCGCCGAGACCGTCGACTACGTCGACTCGCTCAAGACCGACCTCTCCTCGCTCGATGCCGCCAATGAGAACGGCCTCCCTCATGTCGTCAGCGAGCAGCTCGCTGTCGTCGAGGCCTACCTCGGCAAGGTCGAGTCGCTGGTGGTGCGCCAAGAGGAGCTCTCGAGGTTGGCCGTCTCTCACTCGGAGAAGATCTCTCACGCGGGGCGCCTGATCGAGAACATCACCAAGGAGGTCAAGCTGCTCGCGATCAACGCCCAGATCGAGGCCACCCGCATGAACGCCGAGAATCAATCCCTCGGCGTGATCTCGCAAGAGATGATGCGGCTCTCGAAGTCGGTCAATGACGCGAACACGATCGTGCGTGATGTGACCGAGAACCTGCTCGAGCTGTTGCCGTCGATGTCCGAGCAGGCGCGCTCGCTCAAGTCATCGACGGCGGCATTCTCCGATGACATGAACTTTAGCGCCAAACGCATCGAGCGCTGCAACGAGGATCTCTACCTGCAGATGCGCGAGACCTTCGCCCGCGGTGATGTGCGCATGGAGACGATCCTGGATCACTCCTACTCGGTCCTCTCCGAGCTTCAGTTCCAGGACCCCAGCGCGCAGCTGCTCAAAAAGATCGACAGCGAGCTCGAGTCGCTCTCGAAGCGAATTTCGGACGATGGTGACGAGGGCAGCGGGGCAAAGGGCACGAAGGAGGCGTCTTACAACCTGGGCAACGGTGAGGTGTTGCTCTTTTGATGAACAGACCCCCACGCCGGGCGCGGGGGGAAACAATGGCAAGGAACGATGGGGGCAGGACGAGTTTGTAGCGAAGGTCCTCGGGAGGTCGAGAGATGAAGCAAATCAGGATCGTATTGATCGAGTCTGACGAGGGGCAGGCCAACATGCTCTCGCGCAGGTTGAGGGCGCAAGGTTACATCGTCGATGTGGCCACGGACCCGATCGAAGGCGCGACGTTGGCGTTGGCAGAACCTCCGACGGTCCTCGTCGCAGAGCTTTGGATGCCGGGGATCTCGGGTGTCCAGTTGTGCCGACTGCTCCAGTCCGAGGCGTCGACGGCGCACGTGCCGGTGATCCTCTCCGGGCCAGGCGATGTCCCGAAGAACAGCTTCTGGGCCGAGCAGGCAGGCGCCATTGACTACGTCCCCTCGGGGCGCGTGGGCGCGCTCGTGCGCGCCATCGAGCGCGCCGTCGAGCGCGCTCAGCAGGAGGATGTGTTCTTCACCTACCTGGGCGATGGCTGCGTGGATATTCGGGAGCGGATCGCGAGCTTGCTCGATGACGCCCTCTTCGAATCGGTGCTCGCGAGCGAGGTCCGCGCGCTCGGCGCGTGCGGCTCCTTCGAGAGGTTATTCGACCTCTTCTCACAGCTCGCCGCGCGCATCACCGCCTATCGTTGGATCGCGTTGCGCACGGACTCTCCGCGTCGGTTCGCGATTCACACCAACCCGCTCAACCGGACCGAGGATCTCGAGACCGCCAGATCTGTGCTCTCGACTGGGGTCGATGAGGGGACCTTTATCCTGATCGAGGACGGCGACGCGATCGATATCGATGCGCAGTTCGTGGCGCACGAGAAGATCGAGTTCGGGCACTTGAACATCGGCGCGCTGGCGATCGCGTTCGAGGAGTGTGACGACGAGGGGCGACACCTCGCCGGGTTCTTCGCGCGCGAGCTCGGAGGGCCACTCCGCATGGTCTCGCTCGTCGAGGAATCACGCCGGTTGGCGACCACCGATCCCCTGACCGGGCTCGCCAACCGCCGCGCTTTCCTTGGCGAGTTCAAGACGCTCCTTCACGAGCGCCGCAGCGGTAAGGATGGCGTGTGCGCGTTGATGTTGGATGTCGATCACTTCAAGCAGATCAATGACAACTTCGGTCACGCCGCCGGGGATCTTGTCCTCGCCACGCTCGGGGGTGTGCTCGAGGGCTTCGCGCCGTCGATCGGTTCGTCAGCGAGGTGGGGAGGCGAGGAGTTCGTCGTCTCGCTCGACCAGGTCGACTATGCTCACGCGGTGCGGCTGGCCGAGGAGCTCTGCGCCACGATCGCCGCGCTCGAGATCGAGCATGACGCGACGAGGATTCCGATCACGGCATCCATCGGCGTCGCCGCGCATCGCGTTGGCGATGATATCGAATCACTCATCGATCGCGCCGACCGCGCGATGTATTTGGCCAAGACCTCGGGGAGGAATCGCGTCTGCACCGAGGATATGCTCACCCGCGAGGATATCACGCCGCCTCGCGAAGAGGCGCTCTCTTCGGCTTGATTCAATGGAGATATGGCGCGCAGATCTCCTTTAGCATCTCCAACTCGTCGCGCACGGCCTGGAGCGCTCCTTCCTGGAGCGCTCTTGCCTGACACATGCCATCGTATCGGATCTGGACGCGCTCGATCTTGCGCTCGAGGTAGCGGCGAAGCGCCAGCGTGTTCTGTCGATTCTCTAGCAAGGGGGCGCCGAGCAGCCGGGCTTCTGGCGAGAGCTCTCGCCAGGGCGTCGGCGGCGCGGCGGTGAGATCGATGTGTAGGGTGTGGTAGAGCTGCTCATCTTCCCATAGTAGGATCTCGTCGAGGACACACGCGCCGCGCTCTTCCCAGATATGGCGGCGAAGCGGGGTCAGATCCTGGGGTGATTGGGCGACGAGGCGAGGTCTCCCGAGCGCGTCGAGATCTGCCTGCGCGAGGATATCGATGATCGAGCGCGTGCCCATCCCAGCGATATAAACCAGGTCGAGGCGATCGTCGCTGGAGATGGGCTCGAGCCCATCTCCGAGGCGAACATCGATGCGTTGCTCGAGGTTGGCCTGGGCGATGTTTTCGCGCGCGAACGCGAGCGGTCCAGGCCGAAGGTCCGCCGCGACGGCGAAGGACGCGTGGTCTGAAGAGATGAGCGCGATCGGCAAGAGGGCGTGATCGCACCCCACGTCAGCGATCCTCGCCCCTGGCGGGCAGAGGCGCTGGAGCTGACGCAGGCGCTCGGAGCGAAGCTCAAGGGGACTTGTCATTCTTGTTCGCCGTGGACGCGTCTTCGAGCTCTTGCTTGCGGATCATCTCGCGCACTTCCTTGACGTGTTCGTCATCGAGCGTGGAGGACATCTCCCTGAGCGCGCGTCGCGCGTCCTGGGTAGTCATCTTCTGTTTTTGAAAGTCGACGCAAATCAGGCACATGAGGGACTCCTTGGTGGTCTGCTCGGGCGGGGCTTGCCCCATCTGATGAGCGTGAGGTCTGTCTCACGCGGTCATCAAGATCAACGAGTATAGGGGTTGGGATACTCCGCGCCAAGTCCTTCGCGCGTCGGATTCTCGCGTGGCGAGGGCTGGCGGCGTGGCCTCGCGCGCGTGACAAATCCGATCCAGGCGTGATAGTCTCTGTCAGACGTTTGCAATTCAATGAATGTTGCCATTTATGCAAGGTGGCTTGTTGATCAAGGCGCGACAATCCTGGGCGGAGCTGTCGTATCGAGGGGTGATGTATGTCCAATGAGGTGCTGGATCTCGACATTTTGGCGGAGGTCTTGTTCGAGCAGGGGCTCGATGCATTGATCGAAGATTTGGAAGGAGAGGCGAGCACATCGCATGTGCTCGACGTGCTTCGCTCACGTCGAGATATCCTGCTCGAGCGCCCCTGGGAGCTTGCCCTGCAGGTGATGGCCGGGCTCGGGCACCTCGCGGCGTTCGGCCCCGAGCTCGCCATCGCCCGAAAGCAGACCCCGATGTCCCTTCGCCACGGGTTTATCCAGGGCGGTGAGCCCGAGCCGATCCACGTGATGCACGAGCACAGTAACTTCGTGGGCGGGTTGGCCTTTACCCCGAACGGCACCGAGTTCTACTCCTCTTCAGAGGATGGCACCGTGCGTCGCTGGGTCGTCGGTCAAGCCGAGAGCGCCGAGGTGATCAAGGAAGGCTCACCGGTAAACCGCCTGCGCGTCGACCTCGAGGGGGAGAACCTCCTGTTGGCAGGCGATGATCACACCATCGAGATCTGGTCGTTGGACCGCCGCGACCGCATAACAACGCTCGGCGGTCACAGCGGCTACGTCAGCAAGCTCGAGCCCTTGCCCGATGGCCGCATCATCTCGGTCAGCTCGGACAGCTCGGTCAGAGTCTGGGACCAGAACAGCGGCGCCTGCCTCGCTACCTTCGGGAGCCATCACCACGCCTGGGTGTTTGCCCTGGGGGTCTCGCCAGATGGCCAGCGCGCTGTCACCTCCTCGCTCAATCACACCATGATCGCCTGGGATCTCGACGCGCTCGAGGTCGAGCAGGTCATCATCGGCGAGGACAACGGCGACGTGCACATGGTCATGGGGAACACCTACCTCGCGGCGCCGAACACGTCGGGGAGGGGGCATGATGACGCGCCCTCGGTGATGCGCTGGACCTCCGATGGCGAGCGCCTGATCTCTGCTTCGAAGGATATCGTCGTCTGGGACGCGAGCAACTTCGAGGAGATCGATCGCTTCGACGGTCACGCCTGGAAAATCAATGACATGCACCTCTTCGATGAGGACCGCAAGTTGGTGACCGTGGCCCACTGCATCAAGATCTGGGATCTGGAGACCGGTGAGGAGCTCCGCAGCTTCCTCGGGCATGACTCCAGCGAGATCTATAGCGCGGCGATCTCCCCGGACGAATCCCTGCTCATCACTGGTGACAAGAAGGGCGTGCTCAAGATCTGGGACCTTGCCTCCATTCTCTCGGGCGAGATCGAGATCAAGCATATGGGGCAGGTCAACACGGTGGTCGTATCACCGGATAACCGCCACGCCCTGAGCGCCTCATCGGACAAGAGCGCCATTATCTGGGATCTCGAGACAGGCCGCGCGCGCCACGTGCTCACCGGCCACCGAGACCTCTTCGTCAACGCGCAGACGTTTGTCTCCGAGGGGCGAGAAGCGGTCACCTCGTGTTCTGGCGAGATGTTCTTCTGGGATGTCGAGAGCGGCGAGCGAACGCGCGAGTTCCGCCACCACAATCAGCTCTATGGCTTCGAGGGGATGACCTTCTATGACGAGGAGCGCAAGGTGGTCATCGGCGACACGATCCGCTCGCTCTATCACTGGGACCTCGAGGACGCCTCCTCGCGCGCTCAAAAAATCAAGGGGCGCACTGCCTTCTGTAACCACTTTGCCTGGAGCGAGGACGAGCGCTACTTGCTCTCGAACTGTTACTTCAACAAGTCGGATGATTACGACTGGGATGATGATGGCGAGCGCGTGCCCGTTGATCCTGATGACCCTCGCCCGTTCAATAACGGCGTGCAGCGTTGGGATATGGAGACGCTCGAGCTCGACCACGAGTATTACCCCGAGATCCTGCGTGGCACCGATGAGGACACAGAGTATCCCTCGAGGGTGCTGTTGGATGAGGCGCGCGATCTCGTGATCGGAGGGAGCTCTCAGGGGCCGATTCATCTGTGGAGTTACGAGAGCGGTGCGTTTTGGGGAGAACTCCGCGGCCACCCGGAGTATATTCTTGTCCTGGGTTTGAACCAGGCAGGGCACCTGATCAGCGGCCGCAAAAACGCACTATGGGAATTTGAGAGCATACCGCTTGAGAGATCGTATCGCCCTTGGCGGCAAGATGTCGGATCCCAGCAGGATCTTCAGCGATAATATGGAGATGCTTACCTTTGGCGGCATATTGCTCGCCGTCCTGGGAGCTGATCGTCCTCTTTGACATCGAGGAGGGGCGCTTGCTCACGACCTACACCCACTTGTGTGGCGTGAGTATGATCACGCCATCAGCGGATGGGAGCTTGCTGGTCGTGGGGGATCGAAACGGGGACGTGTTCGTGATCGATGTGGCGTCACAGGGGAATCGCGATGACTGGTTGTTTGTCGCCTCGTGATTTCGGAGCCAGAGAGGTAGTGTAGGAGGTCGCTTTTGCGGAAGGTAATCGTACACGTCGAGGACAACGAGGGGGATGCGTTCTTGATCAAACAGGGCTTTCGAAAGCTCGATGACATCGAGCTCGTTCACTTCGAGCGCGGTGGAGAGGCGCTGAGTTGGCTCGAGGAGCGCGAGGCTGCGCTGATCCTCGTCGACTGGTTCCTCCCCGATATGATGCGAATGTCAGAAGAAGCTTAAGTCCTCTCGAGCCCCAAAGGATCGATCCTGTGAAGAGGGGGAAAGCCGAAGAAACGGTTGATGATGCAATTGAGGTTGTGTCGAGCCAGCATGGCGCCAAAGCGAGCGCGCACACTCCAGGTTCGGCGAGCGCTCAGTGTGGGGAGCGCCTTCCCCTTGCCCAGGGCGCCCACACCTCGTTCCACTGACTGACGCAGCCTCCTCAGCATCTGCCTCACTCCTTCATACCTCTTGCCTCGACCCCACTGCTCCGGCGTTAGCACCACCGCTCCCGCTTCTTTCTCCCAGTACTTCTGGAGACGCGCGCTTTTGTATCCCTTGTCTCCCACCACCAGAAGCCTTGGCGTCGGCTTCGCTTCTCGACTGGCTGACTCGACATAACCCCGTGCGCCCAGTCGGTATTTTCCATCTCCGGCCCGGTGGCGATACCCGCAGATTTGGTCGAAGTGATGGCCATCTGGAACCTCCGCTTCAGGCTCGACGCGCCAGCGCAGGAGGGCATCGAGGAGCTGACGTTCGTCGGTCGGTCCGGGGCCGAACGTGGCGCTCAGAATCAGGCCCTCCTCGCTCACACACATCACCGCCTTGAAGCCATAAAACGAACGCTTGGGAGACCCGCTGTAGCCCACAGCAGCGTCGGTGGCGTCCGGGGACTTGGCGCGGCAGAACTGGCGCGTGGGCATTCCGAAGCCATCGACGATCTGGAGCCCAACGCCTTGGGGGTAGATGTGAAGGGCGAGTAGCGGGCCAATTCTGGGGAGAAGGTCTGCGAGGAACTCGACGCGCTTGTTGAAGGAAGAAGGGGTGGTCAAGGCTGGGAAGAACTCGAGCCAATTGCTCCTGACGAATCGAAGCATGGGCGCGTATTGGTTCTGAAAACACCAGTCGGCAAGGATGGAGAGGGTGAGAACCTCGGAATCACTGAGTTTTGAGGGAGCACCCCGAAGAGGACGGTGAGGCAGGAAAAAGTCAGTGTAGAGATCGTCCACAAGGGAGTACACTGTCACCAGAAAGGTCTCGAGATCCAGATGCATGATAGCCTCTCGCAAGAGATGGTTTGGTTGGTATCCTTATCATCGCTGGCTCGAGACCTTTCTCATACCTTCTATTGATTCTGACATTCGCATGATATGGAAGGGGATGAGTTTGTCTCACGAGCATGCGAAGCCTCGCTCGAGATACCCATCGTGTTGCTCACGGGTCTCGCTCTCGATGAAGCCGACGCGCCCGAGGGGATCGAGGTCGCGAACAAGCCCCAGTCGTTAGCGCAACTGCGCGAGCTCATCGCTCACCTGATGACATCTTACGGTATCACTTCGATGGACGCAGACCCATGAGGCCAGGGAGATATCCCGGCAGAGGATTATGAAAAAACAGGCGCTCCATATTTTGCTCGTGGAAGACAACCTGGTCGATGCTCGACAGATCATCCGCCAGCTCAGTCGGCTCGAGCGTGTTCACGCCGAGATCGTGCACGTCGAGACCTACGAGGGGGCCATCGATGCCCTGGTCGAGAGCCAGGCCGGTTTCGACATCATCCTGCTCGACCTCGGCTTGCCCGACACCTCAGAGTTCGAAGCGTTGCGCGGGCTCTCGGCGCAGTTCCCGTGGGTGCCGGTCATCGTCCTGAGCGGCTTCGATGAGGACGCCATCCTCGATCTCACCATGGATATGGGCGCTCAGGATTACCTCCAGAAAGGCTCCTACGAACCCGCCTTGCTCGGTCGCGCCATCTCGCACGCCATCAAACGCAAGGCCTCTCTCGAGATCCTCCACCAGCTCGAGGCGCGCCAACAGGTCGTCGAACGCTTCACCGAGGAGCTCGTGATCGTCCACGAACTCAGCGGTGAGTGTCTCTACACGTCAGGCGCGCTCCAGATCTTCTCGGGGAAGTATCGCACCAACCTCGTCGGCAAGGCGATCCAGAACCTGATGCACCCCAGAGATCGCGACGAGTTCAATCGCCGCGTCCGGGAGCTCGGGCCGCTCGATGTGATGACCTTTCGCTTTCGCCTCGAGGGGAAGCAGGGCAAGACCGAGTGGGTCGAGTCGCGCACGACCTGGCTCGATGACGGCGAGGATCGAGATGCGCCGCCGCTGATTTCGGTCTGGCGCGATGTCACCGAACAACAAAAGCTCCAGGAGCAGCTCCTCCACTCCCAGAAGATGGAGGCCGTGGGTCGCCTCACCGGCGGCGTAGCGCATGACTTCAACAACCTGCTCACGATCGTCCTGAGCTGCTCGGAGTCCCTGCTCGGCTCACTGCCGGATAACCACCGCGGCGTCGAAGATGTCAGGATGATCATGGACGCCGCCGAACGCGGCGCGGCGCTCACGCGCCAGCTCCTCACGTTCAGCAGGCAGGAGCTCATCCAGATCATGTCCGCCGACCTCAACGAGGTCGTCAACTCCCTCTCGGGCATGCTCGAGCGCACCATCGGAGAACATATCGAGCTCGAGGTGCAGCTCGCCGCGCGACCCTGTTTCATCCAGTCGGACATCTCCCAACTCGAGCAGGTGGTCATGAACCTCGTGATCAACGCGCGCGAGGCGATGCCCGCTGGCGGCAAGGTCCGGGTCGAGACCGGCGCGGTCTCTTTCGACAAGGACTCCCTCCCCACCGCCGCCGCCGCGCCAGGGTACTACTACTTCGTGCGCGTCAAGGATCAGGGGTTGGGGATGAGCGCGGATGTTCGCAGCAAGATCTTCGAGCCCTTCTTCTCGACCAAGGAGCGCGTCGGTGGGATGGGCCTCGGGCTGGCAAACGTGTACGCGATCGCCAGCCAGCGCAGAGGGTTTATCACCGTCGACTCCGAGGTCGGCGTGGGCTCGACCTTCACCGTCTTCTTCCCCAGACACGAGAACGCCGATGAGCTCGACCGGCAGGATGAGGGGAAGAAGAAGTCCGAGCTGCGCGAGGCGAACATCCTCTACGCTGAGGATGATGATATGCTCCGGCGCCTGGCGAGTAATCTGCTCACCGAGCAAGGCTTCAGCGTCTCGAGCGCGTCCAATGGCATCGAGGCGCTCGAGCTCCTGCGCGCGGCCAGGAACCCCTTCGATCTGGTGATCACCGATGTGGTCATGCCCAAGATGGGCGGCGCGATGCTCGCGCGATATGTGCAAGAAGAGAGCCCCGGCACGATCATCCTGTTCACGACCGGCTACACCGAAGACGCGACCTTCGTCGAGGAGTTCTCGAGCAAGAAGTTCCCTTGCCTGATCAAGCCGTTCGCGCCGAGCAAATTGCTCGCCAAGATCCAGGAGTGCCTGGAGCTTCGCGAGCAGCAAGCCCTCGATGAGCAGGAGTGAGCGTCAGCCCCGGATGACATCGACGAGCGCGGCGATCTCTTCGAAGTAGCGTTGCTGGTTGAGACCCATGATCGAGTTGTGATCCCCGTTCTCGAGCAACACCAGCTTCTTGTGCTTGCTCGCCGCCCAGGTGTGGTTTCGCTCCGCGTGCGAAGGGCTCACCAGGTCATCCCCGCGCGCATGCAGCAAAAGCATCGGGCTGATAAACGCCCTGAGCTTGAGCTGGTGATCAAAGATCATGCGCGCCTCCTGAGATAACTCCGCCGACGTTGTCCCCAGATCTTCCGGGCGCGCTCGCAGCAAGATCCGCTCGAGCGGATCTGCGATGCCGCTCTCCAAAATCAACCCTCCGATCCCCGGGCGCCTGTGCGCCAGCTCGATCGCATAGATCGAACCCACGGAGCGACCCATCACGATCGTCTTCTCCGGTGGACTCCCCGAGGCGTCCAGCAAGGGCACCACATCCTCGAGCATCGTCGCCATCAAGGGCTCACCGCTCGAACCTCCGTAGCCTCGGTACTCGGCGAAGAAGGTGTTCAGCCCCATCTTCGCGAAGACGTCCATCAGCCACGGCACATAATCCGCGACGATCTCGCCGTTGCCGTGAAAGTGCAGCAACGTCAACCCATCCGGGTCCACGATGTGCTGCGCGCAACAGAGCGTCGCGCCCTCGACTTCGACTTCGACCTCACCGCGTGAGGGGCGCCCCGCGCGTGGGAAGAAATAACGCTGGGAGATGATCGGGTGGTCAAACAACATGGCTCGTCTTGCCTCACTGGATAGGTTGGCCAAACCCTATCACGATCCTCTCTTCGAGGCGTTCGAGAATTCTTGCTCGATGCTCGCGCGGCCTTGCGCCCGAGGTCGCGATCTTTAAGGATGTTCCCCTGATCAGATGCCTGGTTTCTTGCCTTTAGAGGTCCTCGTGAACGCTCCGATTTATCTCGACTACAACGCCACGACCCCGATCGCCCCCGAGGTGCTCGAGGCGATGATGCCCTATTTGACCGAGCACTTCGGGAACCCGTCGAGCTCTCATGCGTTCGGGAGAGCCGCGAAGGATGCCGTCGAGGAGGCGCGTCAAAAGGTCGCCTCGCTGCTCGGCGTCAAATCACACGAGATCTTCTTCACCTCCGGTGGCACCGAGGGGAACAACCTCGCCATCCTGGGCGCGGTCCCGATGTTCCCCGAGGCCTCGGGTCGCAAGTCGATCCTGACCTCCACGATCGAACACCCGGCGAGCTCGAGACCCGCGGAGTTGCTCGAGACAAGGGGCTGGGAGCTGCGGCGCGTCGGCGCCAACGCCCACGGGTTGATCGATCTCGACGCGTTCGATGACCTCTTTGACCAGGACGTGCTGCTGACCACGATCATGCACGCCAACAACGAGATCGGCACGATCCAGCCGATCGCAGCCATCGCCGAGCGCACCGAGCGCGCCGGGTCCTTGCTCCACGTCGATGGCGCGCAGACCGTCGGGAAGATCCCCGTCGACCTGAAACAGCTCGGCGTCGATATGTTCACCGTCGTCGGTCACAAGTTCTACGCCCCCAAGGGGGTCGGCGCGCTTTATGTGAGGGAAGGGGTCGAGCTCGATGCCAGGTCTCATGGCGCAGGTCACGAGCGCGGGCTTCGCCCTGGCACCGAAAACGTCGCGAGCATCGTCGGATTGGGCGCGGCCTGCGAACTCGCTGGCGCCAGGCTCGCGGACGAGTCGAAGCGGTTGGTGGAGCTTCGCACGCTGCTCGCGAATAACCTCCAGAGCGCCTGTCCAGATATGGTCATCAGCGGTAAGTTCGCGCCGAGGTTGCCTCAGACTTTACATATTTGCCTCCCCGGCAAGATCGGCGCCGACGTGCTCTCGCACGCACCGGAGCTGATGGCCTCGACCGGCGCTGCCTGTCGCGGGCCTGATGATCCTCCCTCGGCGACGCTCACCGCGATCGGTTACACGCCCGAGGTCGCGCGCGGCGCGATAAGGCTCTCGCTCGGCCACGGGACCACGCGCGATGAGATCGAGCGCGCGAGCAGATTGCTTATCGAGGCCATCGCCAAGAGCAGGAGCTTTGCATGAAGCGGCTTTACACGATCGCGACGCTGTCCCTCTTGCTCCTGGCGACCTCCTGCGACAAGGAGAAGGCGCATAACCACCGCGGCGAAGAAGAGGCGGCCGGGGGAGCGAAACAAACAGCATCGAACACCACCTCTACAGCTCCCCGGAAGCGCCTCTTCTTCGCCCGGCGCCGACGCTGTCGAAGCCGCCCCCGACCCGCTCGCCGGGCTCACATACCCCGAGGTCGAGGTGCCAGACCTCGACAGCGAGAACGTGCTCGATGCACCTCCCGAGTGGGAGGGGGTCGTGCCGCGCGTGACGCTTATCAACGAGCAGCGCTATAGAGACCTCTTTCACGAGGCAAACAACAAGGTGATGCGCGGCGTGCAGGCAAAGGATGGGACTTACGAGGATGATGACGCCACGATCGTGGCGCGCTGGAGGAGGTACGCCGAGGGCACCCGAGGCGTCTTCGTTTTGCGAGATTCTCTCTTTAGCCAGCAGGATCACCCCTACAGGCAGGATGGCTTCTGGCCGATGCTCCCGCCAAACTGGGTCACCTCGGCCGTCGCTCGCGTCGACGCCAAACAGAAGATCGAGGGCCCGGCGACCTATCCGATCGAGGATGACGCCGCGTGGAAGGGAAAGAGCCCCGAGCAGGTCTTTGGCGTCTTTCCCCAGAGCCCCTCGCTGCACGAGAAGGCGACCGTGGATCTCGAGGCGATCGAGGATGCCGGTGAGCGCGAGGTCGCGAGCCAGCGCGCGCGTCGAGCGCGCGCTGTTTTGCACCATCTGGCAAAGGATGTCGACGCGATGCGCGCGGCGGCTCCGTTTGGCGCCGAGGCGGTCGCAAAGGCTGGCGCCGCGCGCATTGCCTTCGGGGACAGGGCGTATTTTGGCGAGAAGATCCGCCGCGAGAAGATCATCCCCATCTTTGTCGAGCACCCTGACGACTGGGAGGTCGAGGAGGGGAAGGGGATGCTCCCGCCCGGCGCCGAGGTCTCCGACGCGATCGTGGAGATGGTCACCCGAGAGGTCTACCGCGCGAGGTTAAAAGATGGCGCGCTCGCCATCGAACGCTATGACATCTCGAGCAAGGAGGATCGCGCTCGCGCCATCGCCCTGCTCGAAGCATTGATTCCGCCAGAGGATGAGGACACTGACGGGAAGGTCTGGTTGTGGGTCACGGGTGATTTGATCGAGGGCAAGAAGCTTCAGGGCGAGGAGCCGCTGGCGCATATGCCTGTGTTTCTGAAAGAGCTCGAGGGCGCAAAGATCGACCGCGCGCGGCTCGAGTTATTCGGCAAGCCCACGGTGTTTATCCGCGGCGACAAGAAGGCGCGCCGCGAAGCGCTCGAGCGAGCGCGTGATGATTACGCAGCCGCCGGGCTCCCGTATGTGAGCGTGACGCTGACATCGCCCGCGTTGCGGAATATCCTCGAGTGAGCGTGAGGTTTGCCTGGCTCCCATCCCCGGGCTGCATCACCCCTCGTTCCATGAACCCAGAGGAGGTTGCAGATGGACATTGCACGTGCGATCGATTTGGAGATCGAAGCGCCGGCGGCCAAGGCTCGCCAGATCGAGCTCTCGAAAGAGCTCGAGATTCGCCCTGGCCGCCTCGACATCAACACCGTAGGCGCCACAGACGTGGCCTACGACAAGGAGACCGACAAGGCTTACGCGGCCATCGTCGTCCTGGACGCGCAGACGCTCGAGGTGATCGAGCGCGCGAGCTGGGAGGGGATGCCAGGGTATCCTTACGTCCCGGGGCTCTTCTCACTGAGAGAGGCGAGTTGTTTGCTCGAGGCGTTCAAGGCGCTCGAGACGGTGCCTGATGTCGTCATGATCGATGGTCATGGTTGGGCGCATCCGCGCCGCTTTGGCCTGGCGTGCCTGCTCGGGTGGGCGCTCGATATCCCCACGATCGGATGTGCAAAGAACAACCTCGCTGGCGACTATCAAGATCCAGATAAGGCGCGCGGGGCGTCGACCCCGATCCTCGATGGCGAGGAGCAAATCGGCGTCGCGCTGCGCACCCAGGATGGCATCAACCCGGTGTTTGTCTCGCCAGGGCATCGCTATGATTTTGACACCGCGGCGCGGGTCACGATGGCGGTCTCCGGGGAGTATCGCATCCCCGAGCCATTGCGTCAGGCGCACAACCTCTCGATCGAACTCCGCGCCGCGGATGCTGAGAAAGCAGCCGAGGAGCAAGAGGGGGAGGTGGTCTCATGAGCAAGCAAAAACAGACCTTCGCCTCGCTCGATCCGACCACGCTCGCCTGGCTCGAAGAGCTCGGCATCACCTCGGCGTCCGAGCTGCGGGTGCTCGGCCCCTCTGTCGTCTATCAGATGATCCGTGAGATCCACCCCGAAGCGCCGATCCACCTGCTCGGGACGTTGAGAGACGTCGCGCGAAAGCCCAGGGCGTGAGCTGAAAAAAAGCAGATGAGAAGGCGCCACGTTTTCTCGCCATGAAAAAGAGCAACCAAAACATGAATGCATTCATGTTTTGGTTGCTCTTTTTTGTGCGCTGCGAAAAAGTAAGGTCTCAAGCGGTGGTCATGGGGTTCGGGGTGAGGGCGTCGATACACCTTCACCGGGCGATTTCACGAGGTCCCCGGGAATCGCGCTCACGGGTCATGCGTTGGTAGACGGTCGCCCCGAGGCGACCGCAATCGTCTCGCTCGTGGAGGTTTAACATTGAATCTGGCGGCGTGATGAGAGATCACTATAAAGTATAACCCAGAGAAATGGCGCGTTGTTTGGCGCCACATGTCTCCCCCCAGGATCCAGGTGAACAGAGATGTCAGGTTGGGCGATCGACCTCGGAACAACGAATACCGGCGTGGCCATTTGGGACGATGTCGCAGGCCGTCCTCGCCTCTTGGAGCTGACCGACATCTGTCGTGTCCCCGACGGCGAGGATCAGCTCGAGGCCCCACGCC